GAGTCATCGTGTCATTAACCGCGGATAATTTTACCGGGAAGCTCGTGATGATCGCGTAGCCGCGTTCGCAAGAAACGATGCAATTTGCACAGACTATCGCGAGTAAATAAGGATAGATCGACTCTCTCTCGTTCTTTTTAATTGAAAATCTTTACGTTTGATAAATGTCTACGCCGCGTTCTTACCGGTATCCGCAAACGAATTTTTTCCATCGAAAGCATCTTGGGACAGTTCAACTCGAACGACCAGGAATTCGCGACAAGCGCCGTGGGAAAAGCGTGGATGCGTTTGGATCGGAAAGGGTTCGATTCAATTCACCCTCCTCCCAGGAGTGTCCCTCCTACCAACACCTCGTTCGTCTTCTTTTTCAACCTTTTAAAATTCCTCTCAAATAATTGGCGTAGATTCGGTCGAATAAATAGAGCACGGTGGAAAAAAATGTGTTGATATTTGCGCGATAAGGAAAGGTTCCTGCTTCCGGTTATCCACGGAAGATCCTGACCTGAAAGGAGGAATACGTGGAAACGGAACAGCTCCGTCTCGGTTATTATCGCGGTTCTTGGCCAAAGCGGTCGCCACGGGTTTCCTTAAGTCGTCCATCGAGTTGCGCGCCTGATTGGACGGACACGAAGGATGTCGTGCCACCAGGATACGCGATAAACCGACAGGCGATAAAGTTCACCGGGTACCGCAGCCCGGGATTTCTGAAATTCCACTTTGCGGAAGCCGAGGATCTCCAGCTTTCCCTGAATAAGCTCCGATCTTGCCTACGGCAATTTTTGCTCGGAAAAGAAACTATTAGAGATTGAATAAATTTTTTCTCTAAAAAATAATACCGTCCAGAAATCCTAAAATCCTCCATCGAACGTTAGGTCGATCGACAACTACGAAAACTTGTTTTTTAACCAAGTTTTCTTACGAGAGAAATAAGCACGAAGAAACAACGGTCTGGCGCGACAGTGCCGACGGATTTACGAGTTTAATTAAGTTCTGCGGTTGCGTTCGTCATTTTACCGAGCATCGAAGTCTCGTTTGCAACGGACATACTTCGCGTACGAATTGAACCGGGCAAAAAACATATACGTCCTCGAAAAAGAATTCGAGGGAGTCTGAGATTCGGAGGGTGTTAATTACACGTTTTCCTAACGAGCTACCGATCTTTTGGTATTCCAGTAGCAAATTTCAACGTGTACATTAATAACCTGCTGATAGAGCATGATAGGGGTTGCCAGGCTGCGAGGGAGACTCGCAAAAGGAGTGTATGTGACACTTTCCTAATTGCCTCGCAACTCCTCTCACCCTTTAAGAAAGGTAACCCTTATTCTCCTCTCGTTGTTGCAGACCTCAGACGTTCCGAAGACGCCCCTGCCATTCGTCAACACCAACCGACCGTGCAATTTAATCAAACACCACGCGTGATACCGATCGAAACAGCGGATAGGGAGTCAAATTTGCAAACTTAACTTGCAACGTTCCTCTAGGTATTGCCCCCCTTAAAACGTGCATCTGCAGTATGAAGAAATCGAGAATGAGGACAAAGCGAAACGCAGAGAAGTGCATTACTGGTGACCCGACATTAAACGACACTGGCTCCGTTTAACTAAAGTTCCCAACTAAGAGTAAAAACGAAGAAGTAATGATTCTGTACAAGCATTAGGCTTCCCATTAAGTTTCCGCGAAGCGACGAACGAAATCTACGCAGACAAGAAACTCGACGGGACAATCAGTAGGCGAAGAAAAAGGCGGAGAAACGATCAGAAAAGGTAGCCGCTCTGCGGAGGCACGTGGGAATCCTTCGACAATTTTTATTTCTCTACTGAACAATTACCCACAGCATGTACCTTGTTATCTCTTTTCGAGTTAACACTTTGATTACGATTCAGTTTCTGTTCCGTAGACACGGATCATTTAGTTCGAGCGAAATTTCATGTATTTCTGCGATGTCCCCTCGCAAACGAGCCGGAGTTTTACGACGCGATGGTCAAGCGAGAAAACGAGCGTATTCGGTCTACGCGAGCAGACATCCAGGCAGACAGAAGGACTCAGAAGAGAATATACAATCAGTATGATTGTTTGACACCCCATAATCAGCGTCCTTACCCCTACCACGGAGTCCTTCCTCTCTTTGCCTCTCTATCAACTTGTAAGTCGAAAAGGACTCGCAACGACTGCTCTTCAGGTCCGTTGCCACTGGCAGAGCCTCATTACCCCGATCACGACTCGAGATGAGACTCCAGGGAAGAAGACGAGAGAAACGGACACGGTTATATTATAAGAGACAAGAATAATGCTCGCTTCCCTTTTTTCTTCACCCGAAGACCTTCTGGCCGAGGTCATTCCTGTCCTTCCCGCTCGTTTCCACGCTCGTTCGCGATACGAACGCGCTGCATCGTTTGCGATTACGATTCTTGTTCGTTTGAAAAGTCTCTTGTTCTTAATCCGAGTTCTTGGATTAACGTGAATTTTGACATAACACTTAAAACAGTCACATAACAGTCAGAGTTAGATAACTGTTAGTAAAGTAAGGAAATGATATTAACACTAGAACTACCAAGCAGTCAAAATGACTGGTTTCAGATTTCTCATTTTATATTACAAAATTTTATTGTCGATTTTATAGAAAATTTTGTTGAGGTAAAAACTAATTCTATAACATGTTACTTGATGCTTTAGTATTTATTTATTTCCCTTTTCATTTTATTTTTCATTCTTCGATAAATGAGCATTTAATGTCGGTAAAACTTCAAACTCAGTCATGCTGTAATTTTGGTTTATAACTCAATAAACCAACATATACCTATATCATCCAAGAAAAAACATCGTAAGAAGCAGTTCTGGTAAAGAATATCCAAAAATTTTGAGGGGCGAACGCAGGCAGTTTAGCACGATTCAATTCATACGGTAAACGCGCGATCGAGCATCATGTAGGTGAGATTTAGAGAGCAATCAGAGGAGTCAGACCAGAAGTCGACACGGAGAAAAGTGAAACAGAAAAGAAAGAAGAAGAAGAAGATTACAGAGAGAAGATGAGAAGGAAGAGGGAGGATTGGTTCGATTCAACAACGTCTGGCATCGCAAGCGAACCGAGCCCAAGACAAAAGAAAAAGCACGAAGCGGCGAGCGAAGGGCAAAAACAACATGGATCCAACTTTCGATCGATCGAGAAGCGATCGATCGATCCCTGGTATTACGCAGACGTGCACGTGAGTAGTACGTGAGTGCACGGTTCGTCTTGTAAGTCGTAAGTTGAATCGGTCGACTCTGTTCGAGCAAAGCGGGCCTGAACACGTTGCAGAAGGAGAATAAGAGGAAGGAAGAAAATTGCATCCACCGACGCTCATTTCGCACTCTATGCTCATTCGTACGTGTGCCCTGATCCGCTCATTAGGCATCAATGAGTGACCAAATGAAACATTTCTCGACTACTTTCCCATTCATCGGATAATAGCTGCGAAAATGGTTCTATTACCTTTATGGAATCCAGCTGCCAGGAAGAAACGATTTGCGAGTTTCCTCGAAGTGGAAGAAAGTAATCATCGGATATTATTTGGAATGTGGGTCGTTCGAATCGAAAGATACAGATGATTGCCTTTCCGGCAGTACTGTTATCTTTTGATAGGCTAACAGAAAAATCCAGAATGTTTTTTGACATACATTGTTAACATTTTGTTGCCGTCGACAGATATCGGTTTGTCCGAGATCTCTAGGTTAATTGAAAGCGTGACGATCTGACCACAGCGTCGAAGGCGTTAACGAACCAATCCTAATACCATTAACATCATTTTCTATTTTTAAACCTAGTTTATCGTAAACTCTGGAGGGTGGCACAGAAAAGACGCAGGTTTCTATCTTGCGGTGAGCAAAGAAGAAAGGGTGAACTTTGCTACCATAGATGAGGTAATTACAATGGTGGCTGATCCAGGAAGGTGACACGGGTGCAGCAAAGTTGGCCCGGAAGGTAGCACGAGCCTGATCGACGGAGAAGGTGGCGAAGGTTGGAAGAGTAGAAGGAGGAGATTAGGGCAAAGAGAAACCGCAACGTAGCTTCAAAGAGGTCTTGCCAGCCAGGGGCGCGTCTACTTAACTTTGATCAGGTCGAGACCGCTGATGCGAGACGAGCCGCGTAGAAATAAAGTGGCTCTGCACTTTTCCCTGCCTTTTTGCATCGAGAATCAGCGATTCTAGACTCTCGATTGATCTCGTAATAAATTATAGAACTTTGTCAATCCAACTTGACAAGACTCTTTAAATCACACTTGGGGGCCTGAATTTTCGACATCTTTGTTAAACGACAGTTACGGAATTTGTGCAAAGAGCAGTTTGTAAGTGCAGATTTATTTCAAAGAAGACTATTTTCCGAATAAGCGACGGATTGTTTGAATTTTAATGTTAACCGAGTGAGGACAGTATCGAGGACAGGCATTTGCCTCGTGCTACGGAGATAGAACGGTGCATCGTGGCGAGAGGAGAGGGATTAGCGAGAGAAGAGATGGAAACGGCAGGTTGAATGTCGTTATTACGTTGAATTAGAGGGTGCAGAGCCGGAACGAGGTATGAAACTATTACCTCGCGAAACGGCAGACCTCTCTCTCTCCTCTTGATCCCTCCTCCCAATCGTTCCCCTGGGGATGGTAGGGGGTGGGTGGGGTTAGTGCGTAGTTTCGAGTTGCTCCACGAGCCACGAGGATGATGCTCGTCGTGAGCGAAAGATGATGATACCCGAGAAATATCAAACAGAAAGAAGCAAACAGAGCGGAAGACACGGCTTCCATTTCTCAACTGTTAACCCTGTCAGAACACCGATGGAAAAGATCCTCGTAGCTCCGATAACGTCGATGCTCGTAGCTCCTTTTCTATCATACAGATTAACTACGCGTTTTCACCACGCTGATATTTCTATTACCTATCAGATTCACCTTCGAGGGTGACTCAAGTCGGTCACAAAAGTTATTTTAAACATCGTGGATGACAATAATGAAAATTGAAGGAAGAGGACTCACCACCATGTTGAGGACTGTGCTTGTAGCAATCCTGATGAGCCGAAGAACCACCGGTAGCCCCGAGGTGTGTACTGGAAGCAGGCGATGCGGTCGGGTCGGTGTTGTTCGGGTTGGTACAGGCACCACTAACCGAATTCGTGATGACGTTGTTGCCGACGTGATGCTTATTCCTCCTGTACGGTTCTGTGTCCCGTATGTAAGGGGTGAAACGACTCGATGGAAGGAACGTTCCTCTGGTTGGTCCAGGAACCCGGGCTGGCCCAAGTATATGCGTCTGTCCTGAAAAGGAAACGAAGTTCTGGCTCAGTTACCGTAGGAAAAAAACAACGAAATGTAACTCCTAAAATTATTATCAGTCTAATCAAAAATACTTTTTCAAATAAAACACCATTTAGCCAGACAGACTCCTCTAAAATAAAAGTTTTCTTTCGAGGAATAGAAAAAGAAAAATAGTCGTTGAAAATAAATTATATAAGATTGAATGTTCAGCGAACGAATAGACGAAAATGAACGAGAGACGAAAGCAGCGACGTTGAGCGTCCATTCGAAGAGGGACAAGGGGTGAAGATGTTTGTGTAATTAGCCCAATAGAGAGGGATAATTAAGAAACTCGACCGGCCCGTGTCTCGATCGACTTCAATAGCATTCCTCGCACATACCAACCGCTGGTGAATTGATAGAACCCCATGAGCCAAGTATCACGGTGCTTACATAGCGATTCCCTATTGTGTCGGATCGCAATATGTAGTCCGCGCGTAGTCCGTGCATATCGTTATACGGCAATGCACATTATGCGCCACGTGCATAGGCTCGATTGCTTACATAATCATCGAACAAGCATATTTAGTGGCAAAATCGCTCGGTTGCGTAACTTTGACATTTTGTAGGCGAAATATCGATCCAAAGTGTTGCGATATCGATTTCGTCCGACACTCTATGGGCCCTAAAATCGTTCGAGTCGCCTAATTACCGAGCAGTGACTATTAATCGCGGATTACCTATCGTATATCGCTGTGCAATATTATTAAGTGGAACGAGAGACGATAAAAGGTTTTGCAGACAACGGAACCGTAGAATGGTGCGACGCTAATCAAGGGAAGTGGAGCACTCGCGTTTCTTTGGTGTTCGAAACGGGCCAGCGAGGAGGAAGCGGAGAATGGGAGCCGCGAGGCGCAAATTGTTATTCGTCGGCCAAGAAGGAACCAAGAAACGGTCGAACACGAGGGGTAGATCGGAGAAAGAAAGAAATAAAGCAAATGAAAGGTGGAAGAAAAGAGAGACAGCGAGCGTGTTCGGGCCACGAGGGCGAACGACAAATAAAGTTCGACCGCAAACTGCACGAAATTGTCGGCGAGCCCAGATGGTCAGCTCTGGTGCGCCAACCGATGCCTACAAGATTATTCCTCGCTACCGACTACCACGATCGCCAGAAGAAACAAGGCTCTTTCCTCTTCTCTTTCTCTCTGTTCAGCTTCTCCGCGACCGGATCCCACGACTTCTCACGTACCGGACGCTCGTAATACCTCCCAAACGTATCGGCCTCTGCGCGCCCAATGCTCCTTTTCGATGGATCCGCTTCGATGTTTCCATTCAGGAGAAGCAAAGCAGAATGAGATGTAGCCGTCGGGATAATTCAGCGCGGATGGTAGCCGAGGAGAGGAAACGCTTTGTTCATCGGAAGGTGATGCTATCGAATGCTCGTTCGGTTCAACTGCCTTTTATCGATTCTTCTTATCCATCTTTCGATTACGCGTTCATTTATTGCTGCCGTTCCTGCCGGAGAGAAACCGCTCGATTCAGGATGAAGACACCGTAGAAGATACTTTGGTTACGGTTAATTGTTGAGCTTTTCGTTCGCTACGCTTTTTACAACTTCTTCGTATTGTTATATCGAAGCGACGTAGAAAGTTTGACACCGGTCTGTTCGATACTTTTTCTATACGCTTAATCGAAACGCAGGTCTTTAATTAACAGTTTGAACAGCTAATCGATTGTAGGTACGTGAGAATGTATAAATAGTTGGTAAGGATAGCTGTGCGATATCAAGGTGTCGAGGGTGTCTGGAAACAAGCCTTGTGCTGAAATCTATCAGCGGAAAGGCGGTTAATTACAATAAACAAGAACGATCGTGATATAACACCTTCACCGATTGCCCCTTTTGCCCGTTCTCGTGAAGCATGGTGAAGCAGAGAGAGAGCAATAATTCCAATCTCCGCAGCACGAGTGGTGGGCTTATCTAATCAAAGTGTGGCGGCCCCAGAGGACGGAAATAGCGCGGCTTTTTCCTCCTCTCTAATAAACGGGCCCCTCCCTCCGCTCGTCTTACATCCTCCTTCACAAACGGATCTGCCAGCGTTTCCACAATTTTTGCTCCGATCCTTCTCTCCTTTCTTCGCGGCAATAACGTCGAAAACCTCCTTTTGTCTTTTCTCGACGAACCAACAAAATTTGAATTTCACGGGACCACAATTTTTTTTATTTACCGGCGTAACATGATATTGCGGAATTTCGAACTCCCCGCATGGCCAGCCAAAAACATTTTACGAACAGAAAATAGGTCCTCTGTACTGTCTAATCGACATACCAAACGCGGAGCAATTACCGTACAAGCAAATTCAATTTCATCTTTTGACTGGCAGCGTTCGTCCATCGATATTGTTCTCGATGATTTTCGGCCACGCTGACTGTTCCACGGTAGCCGCTTTGATTCGCGATCCCTTTCTCCGTTCGATTCGCTCTCTTTTCGATTCGTTCCCGTTTATACCGCTGATCGAGGAATATTTCCCTTCGATTTCCGTGATCGTTCGATCCTGTTTGATCGAATTCATGAACTGACTCGAGCAAATTCCGTACCGTCGAACAATTATATTTTTAGGGAATTTAATAACTCCAGCATAGTGTTACCTAATGAATCGTCTTTTTATTGTACCGACAGTTATATGACACCCCGTGTAATTACGCTATTTGATGGAATTTTATAAAAAAGGTTAACAGATACTTCTAATGACATCCTAGTACATAGTGGAGTTAAATTGAATTCGAACGGATAGCGATCGACTTGGAAGACCGTTAATCCCGTGACACGTCGTTTCAAGCCACTTTTGCAATATTTACACGAGCTGACGACCGTCGAATTACAGAAATTGCACGATTACCGAAACAGCCGGTCAAAGCGAGAGAAAGGGGACGGTTAAAAGGGGGAGGAGGGTGGTGATTTTCGATAACAAAAAGCTCACGATTATCCACGCAATAATGATAGCCGGCAGGTGTCTGCGCTTCGAATCGTTCGCGAGGACAATGAAAGCGCCGGTTGTTTTGACCGACGGCGACCGTATACGGCTGCTCGTTACATAGATTGTCTCCCCGGTGCGTGCCAGGCCGAGGAGACACGCCAACGTGTTCTGCCAAAACTCCTGTATGCAATATGTCGTGATGCGTGTCCTGCGAGTCGAGGAGCCGAGACTTCACGCGACAACGCCTCGTCCTTTTCATTCGCGACGGCCTGAACGTTCTAACTTGTTTCACGGGATAATAATATAATATCCGCTAATATCCATAATGAGCTTTCCCAAGAGGACTTTCAAAATGTCCAAGTTAAAAAATTTGGAAATTTGTTTAAAAAGGCAAATTTCCATTAGTTTGCGAACGAGGCTGTACGAAAAATATCAGTTTCGGTGTTTTGATTACTCGAAACTGAATACGCGTATGAAAACCCTGTCAACCTTTCGACGTTTAACGCATAAATATAATAGCGATTCTATTTTGCTTTCGTGAAACTTTAATTCGATCGTTAAACGCGCGACCGCTAGAAAATCGACGAATTTTATAGATTCCCGTTGTTGGGTATCGATCGAGCGACAACAACGGAGCGACCGATAAAAATGTCAGCAAAATCAATCACCCGGTGGACCATTTCGAAAAACGCGGACAAAAATAAAAGAGAAAAAAGAAGAACGAGCGAACCAGCGGGCACGCATCGCCCTACGCCTATCAATACTTTATACAACAAATGCGAAACGTCCGCAAAAAGCTGCCGTATTCGCGGTCGACTCCGCAGTGGCTATTAATCTGATATCGAAATAACAGCCATTTTTTTTTGTTTCTATGCATCAAGCCAGAAATAGGTGGCATCGCTTAAACTGGATCGCTCCAAATTTTTGAACCCTCTCACCGTTCTTTTCTCGGACGTTCCATTTATGAAAATAAATGTTCGTTTCGTTCACTCATTATACGATAACAGAGCTGCGTGCAATTAAAAAGTATGGGGATTTAAATGTCCCGGTTTTTGCGGATTGGTTATTTTCATTATCGTCGTTGTCGCGGATTTTTATCACAATTTCGTTACAATATTTTACACTCTTTCCCTTGGTCCCTCATTAACATTTTCTAGATCCCGCTAGTTTTCCAAATAGAAGACTATAGCAGAAGACGTACAGTGGGGAAAATGGAAAAATTGGGGCAAGATGCAAGTTTTGTTCGAAGAAAATCGGGCAACTTGGGTTATTTGTATATCAATCCCGTGTCGCAAATACGCGATACACGAGGGCAGATTATATCAAGCATGGTCAAGCATCGATAATTAACGGATATTTTTGGAGGTTTTCATAGTATATTACGTTAAGTGGATTACTTTTCGCGCGGCAGCGTGCTGGTAAAAGCATTGTCCATGTATAGTACGAGGCTGGGTGAATAGCTAACCCAAAACACGCATACGCGTGGTACGCACGTCGACCACTGCATCATCGCGCACCATCTGCTCGGTAATGACTCCCCATTACCGCGTATAGGGACTTTCGTTGAATTAATGGTACATTTTCAGGGAATCCACGGCTAGTAGCCAGCCGGCGTAGCCGCGGATAGATCTCGCGAATAGATCCGTGGGATCACGTACCAGGGAATGGAAAGTGTTTGATCTACTCACTCGTTTTAGAACGCGGTTCCCTCGGTCCATCCACTGTCACCTTGATGGCCCTCGTGTAGGTGGCCACTTGGGGTGGTGTGGTCGACACCGTGATGGTGATACTAAAGCTTTTCCCTGTAACACCATTATCCAACGTTATTTCATGTTAAAATTTCATACCATGGATCGATGTCCATAGACATTAGGACACTTACAACTATCATTTGTTACACTTACTGAACCGTTTAACCCTTTGCGCTCGAGAGCCTCTTAGGCGCCATTCGATTTAATACAATAATTTAAAAGAAGCATTATTTTACCAGTTAAATGTGTATGACGACTATATCCGTCATGGAGATGTGGCAGAATTTTGTGTCATGACGACTATATCAAAAATTTTGTTACAATTTGATATTTAAATTGTAATCTTGGCGGAAACTAAAGTATATTCGTAAATTGTAATATGTTTAAAATGTTTAGAGGTCAACACGAAATGCAATAAACAAATAAAAAATGTAAATGATTTGAGATGGATTCATAAATTCTTCTAACTCGTCATCGCTTGATTATTGAGACACACACTGGCGCGCTTTGTAAAAAGATCGCCACAGTTAACTGGTTAATTAATTCTATAATAGTGCTTATGTGATGTATAAACATAGTGCAATAGACAATAGTGGAAATTATTAGTAGAGAAATAATAACTTCAAAAGAAGTCATTTAACATTTTAATTAAAGAGTGTTTGCAAACAGTAAAATTATCTTCGAGTGCAAAGGATTAAAAAAAGATCTATTCAGTACTAATTGATCATTATTACTTAAATTTTTACAACTCTTATCTTTCTTCCTACCAATACTATTTTTTCCACTGCAAAAAGTTTTGTGGTTAGTGTAAAATTTCGAAGCAAGCCCGAAGGCTTTCTCACTTGTTTCAGATCAACACCTCCTTCTCGCGAAGGCAATCTATTTTTAAGTGATCCAAGCGTGCCGACACAAAGTAACTCGGAGGAAACGAAAAGGGTATAATACAGGTTGACTTTAGGGCGGTCGAGAAAAAGACAAGAGGCTCGTTCGAACGGGCAGCGGCGAATTACAAATGCATATTAGCGCACGATGGGCCGTTTAAGAAACTGTAGTCAATCTCTATGACGGACGTTTATGGAGAGGGAATTAATATACCCGGACCATCAACCTCGAGACCTTCACCGGTGATATACGCACACCGGTGCTCCACCCCCATACGTTCCTTATTTCTCCCTTTACGGACGGGATGTTAATAAACGAACGTAATTGCTGAACAAACCATTTCGATCGAGATTCGATTCACTTTTGCTTCGTTGTACTACAGATTCGTCACTTTATATTCATTGTGAAAGTCGTGCATAAAATGAAAATATCTTTCATAATCTATGTGTAGGTAATCAAGAGTGCCACACTCACTCGTGCACGATGTACCGCTAAGGGGTGGGAACTCTAATGGTCTGTGCTTATAAACATCTTGTGAGCTCTCGCGGAACGACCAGTCACAAAACGTGAAGAAGTCCGTTCGTCAGCGTTAAAGAGAGGATATCTAACGTGTCGCGGACATATAGTCGTTTGTGTTGGCGTAAACGTCAACGATTTGTAATTGTCTCCCCTTGGTGCACCCTGGTCCACCTCGCTGTGTCTGTCAACATGATAACCGGCATCAAACACCCCCAACCCCGCCGCCCCGGGAGCTGCAACTGACTGCAGAGAGGCACGGCGTTATATCCTAGTTATAGCGTGCCCTCTACCCCCGCGTGCAACCGCTCCGACCTCCTCCACTCCCGTTGCACCCCCTGAGCCCGCGGTGCTGTCGCTCTCGCGCCCGTCATTGTATCCTTGTTATCGTCATCGTTCCGCCCGAGCGCAAAGTGGCTCTCGTTTCATAATACCAAAAATCGCGCGTGTCGCGGTCGCTCTTTCTGGCGTTCGCTTTTAAAATCGATTAGCGGCATCGATCTACGCTACGGCCTCATCCTTTCTCTGTTCGTGGCCCGAATGACGTTCGGTAAACGTTTGTCGTTGATGGATCGTATTGAAAAGAGCGATGTTACGGCTCATCGTGTAACGAGTCTTTACGATGTTCTGATTCTGTCGACGCTGTCAAAAATTTGAACCGCGGAATTGGAATCACCGGATTCGACGATGAAAGGAATCGTGCAAGTATATCGGTGGACCGAGTCGGACAACGTGTTTGCGTGGCAATGTAAAGGGGATGAAGGTAATCGAGGTTGAAATTTATGGATACAGAGAGTTCGGGATACGGGGTAACTCATCGAAGAGCAAAAATTAGGATTTCGAGTAGCTGTAAAGTACGATCCCGAAGCTCGGAGTACCGAAAGTAAGTACCGGCGGGTAAAGTGCAGCGTTAAAAGCGCGAGGAGGGTTCGAAGCTCGACGAAGCTGTATCGTAAGTGATCGGAGGAAGGGGTTCGCGCGCGACACCCGGCATCCTCTTTCCCTCTACCGTTCGAGTCCATCGCATTTGGGGCTAATAATGCCGCACGGCCGATTCCCTCCCCTTCGATTCCCGACCGGACCTGCGGTTAATACTCGATGATGGGAACGGTCATCTGCAGAGACAGGACACCCAGGCTGTGCATTCGCGAACGACGGACGGACAGACCGACGGACAAAACCGGGCCACGCGTATGTGCCACCTATATATATAACGTTCAGCATCGCCGGTTATCCAGCGCGAGTCTCGGTGCTCGTTTCGATGTGTCGGTGCGTTTCCAACGTGCCGAGGATGAGATGAACGCCATCCCAAACCGCCCACACAACTATCCGAAACCACTCGAAACCGTCCGTTAATACTCGTGGCACCAAGAGAGAGAGAGAGAGAGGGAGAGCGAATAAAGGGGTAAAGGGAGGGAGAGGACACGAGGTATCTCGCGTAGGGCTAGCTCTCCAAGTGAGAGCCAGGAGCTGGGATGGAAAACGAGGGGTCGGTGGAACGGGAACGTTGGAAGGTCCCGAGTCTCGCAACAGGATGTCTCTGCAATTGTCAAATAATTACTATCGGTGGTAATTTCAGCCGTGTCGATATAGACTGCGGTATATTACTAATTATAGGCACGGGCTACCTCGGGACCGACGATGATGGAACGCCCGTTTCGGCCTGCAGCCCCTCTTTGATCCGGCGCTACCAGCCTACCCTCTCTTTCTTTCTTTCCGTTTACGAGCGGACCGGAACACCGTTCAGCCTTCGACCAAGGTGATAATTGCGACGATCCTGCGCTCATCCCCGTCTCGCCACGCTGACTTTAATTTCTCCAAAAGATTACTTTAGCTGGCTAAACCTTTGACCCGATTCCACTGCACTTTTTCTCCACGTACGAACGAATTTAACCTCATGACCTGTATGTGCGATGGAAGAACCGATCCGAATCGAAGGTCGTCGAGAAGAGAGCGCGTCGGTCATCAAATTTTCCTTGGAACGATATCGATGGATCCGCGATGGGATTCAATCAAATTAATAAGTCGCGGAAACAAAAACCTCGATGATAGGAGAGTAACCTACACCCGTTCGCGGCTGATACGAGCACGCTGGGGGTGGTTTGGTCAATCGTCGAAATTGAGTATTACGGATTATCGAGGAGAGATGGAGAAAAAAATATCACCCTCTCTAAAACAGAAAAAAATACGGCCGAACGAAAAATAAAAACAACAAAAATGGACAAAGGGATCGAAGGATTTTGGCGAGGGACATGCCTCTTTCGCTAATTGATTCCGGGTATAACCCGGTGTCAGGAGGATGAAATCCGCTGACCCTGCACTTCATGATCAAATCAAATGAAACATAGATGATGCTATCGACGGGCATGCAACTCACGGGAGCGAGTGCAGTCCGGCTCGTTAATTCATAAATGTATCCTCCGGTGCGTGGAGTGCAAAACGCATTTGTAGGAACAAACGATTCTACATACCTGCTGACCCGTGTACATAATCTGCGTTGATCGACGCGTGTCCCTGAAATCCGCGACTTAATCGGCGTAAAAACGGATTATTTAAAAAGCTATCCGATCCGGACGGGAGATCATTTATTAAACGGCAGTATCGTGATACGCGTGTAACTTTGATCGGGTCCGGCTCGATGATTTAATTTGAATATTGAAGCTTCGACCACCCTCTGTGTTTCAAACAACTTAACAATTGCGGTTTCGCGTGATATTCAACGTTTTTAACCATTCTAACTGCATGCAAATGCCATTTTTAACGAGTTAACATAATATAACGTTAATTATTCTGCATATTGCATTTCCAATCTATCGTATTAGTTTTTGGAACTCGTTTGTCTTAAAATTCCAGTATCAGATTTTAGGAAAAATTTCAATCTATCAATTTGGCAGTGCAAGAGCGTCGGATCGTTTTTGTTCGATTTTTGGGAACTTATCCTCTTTCTCCCTAGCCGACGGACGATGATTTCTGATTAACGGCCAGTTGTTTCGGATGCTAGGTCGGGGGCAACCGGCGGACATCGAGTAATGACTCTGGGGGCGGCGGGCGCGAGGGAACTCGCGGATACGAAGGGTTGAAAAGCGACAGGCGGGTCAAAGGGGGCTGAGGCCGGTTGATGACGATGATGATTACAATAACCGTGCTTTTAGAGGGTTCGAAATCACGGTACACGCCTCTGTCGTACAGATAATTTACTGGTTGCTTTTTTTGTTCAACGACTTACAAAGCGGACCACCGCTGAAAATGACACGCGAAACCTCAAAACTAAACCTCGTTGTTAGGTCTGTCCATAACTTGTGTGTATGAAATCGCGACGGTTCAATCGATTTTTAGACAAACGGAAACAGATGCAATTTGCAATTCCATTGCTACATTGCTCGCGCGTAAGAGCGACGTTTTTCTTGTTACAACAAAAACAATTTAACAAAGAATAAACAGCGCAGTATTCTTTTAATTAATTTTATAATTAATTTAACCCTGAATATGATGAAATTAATAAGTTCTCAAACAGATTTCAATTTTATGTCAATTGTTAGATTTAGAAATTTATGTTTATCAAGAATTTTATTGTCTATGTTACATAAATAAGCTATTTAGACAAGGGTCAATCAATGTGTTTTAGACACTCACCCCTGCCGCTTCTACCGACGAACCTGAGGTCGTTGAACTTGGCGACTTGGTTCTTCATCAAGGCAGTGGAATTTCTTAGCTCGGCGCAACAGTTTTCATCGTTACCCGCTCGCACTGTCACCAGAGTTCCATCGCCGACCTCGCCCAGGGCGACAACTTTGAACGCCACCGGAAGTGCCTTGTTGGACCGCCAGTGTGTCGGTAGTTGGCTGCAGAGAAAATACGGTGATCCTGTACAAAAAATAAACAGATAATCAGCAATAATTATAGTGAATTTATAATACATGCTTTCAAATATATCCTAATATTAACTAGTTGATTAATGCATTCTTTTTTTTATTATTAATATAATCAAGATAGCTTATATTCTTATTACTGTTTTATATGTGATATGAACTTCCAAATACGACTGAATTAAAAATTCGATACTTTGATAGATTTAAATAGACAATAGGACAAATATCGCTTCGATGTTCGCTCAACTTTTTTTTCAACTCTTTTCAGACATAAACCAAATCGAAGTACAGGGTGAAAACATTCCACCGTCAATAGTTGAAAAGCCCCTGGAAGTCGACACAAACGAATTCCAACGGGAGGACAATAAATCAAAGACAAACCTGTTCGGACCAATTCACCAGGGTGTTCAGCCTGTGCCTCGCCGACGAGCCTCTCGGTCCACCAGAGCTCGCCGACGGCGGCACCCTCGCTCATTTCGCCACCTCCTCCCCCGGCGTCGACGTCGTCGGCCTGTTGGTACCTGGTGTTCACCCCTTGAAGAGGCGCCAGTGAGGGGCCGCACGGGCCGGCGCCTTCGTGGGATCCAACGGTGGCGTAATTCTCCCCGCAGCCCACAGAACCCACCGGTAGATGCATCCCATCGGCCAGTAGCCGCCCCTCGTCGCCGAAGTAGCCACCCTCCGGGCAAGACGTCGTGATTTCACTTGCACAGCCTCGACGGAGCCCACCGCGATATCTCCTTGCACGGCTACCAGCTTCTTTTCCGGCAGCTCCTCTTCTTTACCACGCGACGGTCAACCTCGCCACTTGTACGGACATTCATCGTACCTTCTTCAACGCGCGATACGTCTTCGACATCCTCGAAGTCTCTTTCGATTCCATGCTGAACGTCCGCGGAAAAAGTTGATTTATATTATTTGTGGACACACTGAACGATTTCGTTCAGGCAAAGACTATTAGAATTTATATTTTTATACTGTAAGAAATTAATGCAGAATTGTTATGTGTCAACTATTGGTACACACAGTTTCAGTTGTCATACTAACCGATGATTGTCGCCATGTTTTAACATAAAAATGCCATGTGTTCACGTAGCTCTATTAATCGATTGTCATGCCTTTAGAACAAACTCACTAAATTCTTCAGTAGTATCCAATATTTTCCATTAGTTCTCCTCCGTTTCAACATTACGTATACAGCATAACCGTTCTCTCATCTTCGTCTTGTAGCAACGCTATGGATGTTAAATTCTTTGGAAGTAAATACAAAAACATTATTAAACGATAATCACTATACGAAGGAAAAATATGACGTACGAGAGTTGCTGTCACAAATTAGCACTGTTGTCTTTGCCTGAAACCGTTCCGAAATCGTCTCCCGCTTGAACAAATGACATAAACCAACCTTTAGTGTTTTCCCGCCAACGCCATGTTAAACGTATCGATAGATTGATGCGCAACACCTTCGAATAATGTCCTAACCTCACCCCCCACCCCGACGCACTTGCAGTCCGCGAGGTGTCACTGCGTTATTACTTGTCGATGCAGGATCGATACATCGATTTACGGATCTATGTAATTGCACAGGTCAATGACGTAACACGCTGTACCGCGAACTCCTACAGGTTGTCGTTGATATCGATTCTCGATCGATGACACGTTCGATAGGACTCGCACTGTGTACCGTAATGGCGGTGGTCGGTGACAGTTGGCAGACACGGTTGTTCGGTAATCGCGGTGTAAATGAACGATCTGTGCGACGAAAGACCGAGACACAAGCCCCACCGCGATATCTCCTTGCACGGCTACCAGCTTCTTTTCCGGCAGCTCCTCTTCTTTACCACGCGACGGTCAACCTCGCCACTTGTACGGACATTCATCGTACCTTCTTCAACGCGCGATACGTCTTCGACATCCTCGAAGTCTCTTTCGATTCCATGCTGAACGTCCGCGGAAAAAGTTGATTTATATTATTTGTGGACACACTGAACGATTTCGTTCAGGCAAAGACTATTAGAATTTATATTTTTATACTGTAAGAAATTAATGCAGAATTGTTATGTGTCAACTATTGGTACACACAGTTTCAGTTGTCATACTAACCGATGATTGTCGCCATGTTTTAACATAAAAATGCCATGTGTTCACGTAGCTCTATTAATCGATTGTCATGCCTTTAGAACAAACTCACTAAATTCTTCAGTAGTATCCAATATTTTCCATTAGTTCTCCTCCGTTTCAACATTACGTATACAGCATAACCGTTCTCTCATCTTCGTCTTGTAGCAACGCTATGGATGTTAAATTCTTTGGAAGTAAATACAAAAACATTATTAAACGATAATCACTATACGAAGGAAAAATATGACGTACGAGAGTTGCTGTCACAAATTAGCACTGTTGTCTTTGCCTGAAACCGTTCCGAAATCGTCTCCCGCTTGAACAAATGACATAAACCAACCTTTAGTGTTTTCCCGCCAACGCCATGTTAAACGTATCGATAGATTGATGCGCAACACCTTCGAATAATGTCCTAACCTCACCCCCCACCCCGACGCACTTGCAGTCCGCGAGGTGTCACTGCGTTATTACTTGTCGATGCAGGATCGATACATCGATTTACGGATCTATGTAATTGCACAGGTCAATGACGTAACACGCTGTACCGCGAACTCCTACAGGTTGTCGTTGATATCGATTCTCGATCGATGACACGTTCGATAGGACTCGCACTGTGTACCGTAATGGCGGTGGTCGGTGACAGTTGGCAGACACGGTTGTTCGGTAATCGCGGTGTAAATGAACGATCTGTGCGACGAAAGACCGAGACACAAGCACGCGAACGTCAGTCGCGGTCGACGGTGCGCGACGTAATGCCGGCGGCGCGGCTTCGGCCGCGTGTTCCGCGTAAGCGGCCCGGGACGGCCTAAGCCTCGCAATTCCAACGCTCCCCACTGTTCGCTCCGTCGCGTCCCGACTCTCCTCGACATCCCCACTGTGTCGGATCGCCCGCCCTCCGATCGTGTTGTGCTCGTTTCGTGACCAGTGTCCCTCGTGTTTTCATATTTATCCGCTTGTTTATTGTAACCAGACAACGATCGGATACGGAAAGTTTTTCGGAGGATCTTCGAGGAATCGAATGTCGTATGACTTCTCCACATCTTAATGAATCACAGGAAATAAATATTCCGAACGGTAAACGAGTTTTCATTTTATACCAAAGATCGAAATCAGAGGTTCGAGAGGATAAATCATTTCCACTTCACGAATTCTGATTGCAGTTATATTTCTGTCTATTTACTTATAGAGTATAGTAAGAATAAAAATTTATTCTAGAACATTCTTTTTGTTGTTCTCGAACCATCTGCTTTCCCGCCAAATTGCATTAGCAGCGCCACCTTCGGAGGGTTACGAGATCGATTCGATAATAATCGTTCTTCCGATAATCGTACTAAGTCGTGACAGTTGGCGGGAAGACAGTGACCAGGCTTTAGCTTAACGCGTAATCGTTCTAAATTACCGTGTGTACCTAAATTACTGTGCGTGTTTCTTATCGTTGTTAGTTACTTGTTTTTATAGTGTTTAGTTAACCTATCATTAAACGGATTTCGTTGTTTTTTACGGAAGTAGAATTAGGTTCGTATCGAATAGACGTGAGTCACTCGATAATGGAATGTAGTAAGTTATGTTTTTTCATCTATTTCAGATCAACAAGTTCTCCACGATAATTTTAGCAAGTTCCTGGAAGAAAAAAGTGCATCGAAGGTCGCTCGAACAGCGTGAAAGGTAGGTGAATGCATTATTTACCTCGTTGATATAATGGGTTTACGGAAATTCCTGTGTGTCATCGAATAACCACTTCCATCTGTAAAATTTGCATATTCGAGTAAATTATGTATGAGTCATTTATCAAAATTGATCGCGCATGTAGCTAATACCGAAAGCCTGTACATAGGTTATACGATAACGTTCGAATGATATTCCATGGCATGAATTAATTCGTGGTAATCAGTCGTTTCGTCCTATAATCTTTTGGCTAGTTGTAACACCGATAAGGAGGAAGTAGTATCGTCGAAATTCCCCATGTTATCGTGTTATTCCCCAAGGCGGGCCAATCTTTCGGAACCCGCGATATCGTAATCTTGTTGCCTTTTTTTAGAGACTCTCCCTTTTCCAAAACAATCACCGATAAAATACACAATGGCAAATTTACTTTATCTAGTGTTCGGTTAATTAGAGTTGTCGAAAAATTTACACGTAACAATCAGGCATCATATCGATATTCGCGTGGGATTCGTTTCGTAAATTTCTGAAATCAGCAAATTTCGGGGAGACGTGGAAATTTGTAAAAGGGTGAAAGGTGATTATAAGGCGATCGAAAGGGGTTGAAAAGGGGATGACTTTTCCCGGTTTGGATCCACGGCGATCCTGATGTTTCAGCAAGGCGTAACAAGTGTCTGTGTGACGTCACGCGAGTTCCTGGAGGCGGAGCTTTGGGATAGGGAGAGCAGGTGGGGGTGGGACTCTCTCGCATCGTGAATCGTACGCCCCACCCTCGTGATTTTGTTCCTTCGTGCTATCGCCACCTTCAACCTCCTCCTTCTCTCCCTCGCGGCCTCTTTTCCTCTCTTTTGAACTTTGTTCGGTGACCCCCCTCCATCGGGTTACCTTCCACCAGGTAGGGAGTTGCTACCTGTGATAGCCATTACGAAATGCGATCCAGTTATATTTTTATAAAATTGCACCCGTATTTTTCCCTATAACGAACCCTCGAATCGTGACCCAGATTTATGTGCAAAATTTTCAAACTTACACGTTTGATTTCCCGAAACGATAAGTGAGAGTCTCTTCCCCTTACGTTCGTAGATGAAGGGTAGCTTTGCACCCCTGTAAAGTATTGAAGGTGGTAGTAGGGGCAGAGACTCTGTCTCTCAATCGTTGATCTGGTGTTAATTAAACTTCTTATTTCAGCAAGAACGTCTGCAGTGATAGAGAGCCTCCACCCTTCGAAACGATCCAGGAAGTCATCGACTACCGCGTCGTCCGGTGCATCGATAATCGTCGGTCCTTTCATCCTAAGGTAAGAATTTTCCCATAAGAACATGCATGCGAAACGATCGTGTGTAAGGCGCTTTAAAGGTCTCCCCGTCGTGTTCCCGCAACGCTACCGTTTATTGCACTGTGGTCTGCTAAAGTGCAATCGAGGAAGCAAGTGCGGTTTCACTCGTTCGTGCGGACTCGCAAGAATGTAATTAACCCCTCGGAAGTGCACGTCGCTTCGACCTGTGGCCGATTTTGTCTTGCCTTTTCTTATCTGGCCGAGTTACAGATCGAACGATGCACCATGCCCGATCGATGTACACCACGGTGATCGGTTTTGTCGATTCACACGGAACCACCGCAAAAATCGGGTCTGCGTGTCGTGTGGTGAAACCGCAATTACTTACGCGAAAGACGTCGGCCACGATCTATCCCGATTGTCACGCGTGTTTATGGTCATCGAACCGCGATTTCCAATGGCTTTTCTGACTTCTTTTTATATCGCTCTCCCACGATAATATCAATTAACCATAAAACCGTATCAAGCATTAATCGATATTAATCATTGCGCTGTTCGAACTCTGAGCTTTAAACTGAAGGTTTTATGTTTAATTTGATTAGGAATACAGGGATGCAGGAACACGACGGTGCAGAGACTTGGATATACAGGGATCTGGTGATGTAGAGATCTGCCTATGCAAGGTTATGGATACGGGACTTATTAAAAGGAACTCTGCCTAATGAGACTGAGAATAGCTTCAGCGTGAGAGTCATTATGTCAAGGAAGTCATTAGGATGCGATATTCTTGGAAATGAGAGGGGGTTGATACTATTGTAGAAGAATGAGATTATAAAGGAACACCACAGGGTGGGTCTGATAACGGCCCAACGGTCGAAGGGAAAAACAGAATCATTTTTTTCACGTCTTTTTTTATCGGAATAACGATATCGCCTGGAAGCGAGCCACTTCCAGCACCACCGGAAGGGCTTCGTAAGACACGCTTATCGACAGTGTTTCTCAGAAAAAAAGAATGTCTGGATGTAGGAAAAATTTTCTTCGAATACTTGTATGCATCCTTTGTATTTTAAGAGTGAAAATTGAAGAAAAGTTTAACGGTCGAGGAAAATTCAGTCTCAGCCGGCACGAGTAAATGCGCGTAAGTTAATCTGCCTTTTGCGCGAAAGCCAAGCTAATGAACTATAAATAAGGGAGGAATACTTACGGCAAGTGGACAGCCGCACTTACTGACCCTACGTAATTAAAATCCAGTCCTAAATCAGGACTAGGGACACGATTAGACGTCCTCTCTTCCCGTGTCCCTGTAAAGCCCAAATCCGTGACCCTTATGTTCTCCAACCCCTTTTTCCCTTCGTTCTTACATTCACGCATACTCGTGCCGTGATATAGCCTCTTTTATAGGCTCTGTTGCCTTTAGACTTTAATCAAATTTTCGTGAATTTATTAAAAGTTTGATGGAAATGTTTCTAATAGTACGATTAACGTAGACCGGAATTGCCTTTCGTGTATTAGAAGCAAAAGCAATTGTGTCACGGTACCAGCGAGTATTTCTATTAAACGAAATAAGCAAAAGTGTTGGTGGACCTTCGTGACCACGCAGTTTCCGTTTCCGTCGATGCAATTCCGTTTCCGTTAATCCAAAAGCGTGCAGCTAATGATACACGTGGGGTGGCCACATAATTAAGGGCTGGCGGTGCAGTAAAAGAACGGAAAATGAAAGAGGGTGCTGAATTCGGTGAATAGCGCGATACATTTACCATAACATTTTATTCGATAAATACAGTGGACACCTTTTATTTACACAACTATTTTATACACTTATTTCGTGATAATGTAACATCCATATATTGCAAGAATTTTACAATATTCGTATCAATGAGGAAGTTCTTTTTAACGAAGGTAGATCAGTCGTTTGGAGAGGATAAAATAAAATGAAAAGGGAAGTGATAATTACAATCGTGACAAGCAGAAATCTCGAGTTCTGCATGAAACAAATGAAGGGTAGAGAATATGGTACACGTACCATTATCCTCCAGCCTCGCATCCCTTTTGGCTAGCCATACTTTCCACGACCACCGACGTAGATACGTCCACCCTTGTATAGTCCGTTAATAAGCTTAATAAACCCCCTGTGCGATTACCTTTCTCTCTAGCGTCCACTGTATTCGAGATTCCAAGGATACAGGGATGGCTCACGATTCATGGTCTTTGGTAAATTATATCGGTATTCCAACAGAATTTCAGTTTCGAACGATACTCTTCCTGCAATTTGATCCGATACCTTGTGCCGTGAGTTGAAATTTAATCATCTCCAAAATTAACAACTTATATGTGGTATTACTTATAATATAATAACTTATATTGCTTAAATGTAGAAAAAGGAAATTTTCAAAATCTTTAAAAGTCATTCTTTCACATACAGTCACTTCACCTACCATATATCATTTTTTTAATTTTGTTTTAGGAAAGTATGTAAATCTCTGGCAAGTTTTACTTTTTCGTTTACTCTTAAAGGAGCAAGAATTCGTTCGAATGTAAGATTATACCAGAATGATCACAAAAATTGAAATTTGTTAAAATGAAGAATTTGTGAAGGTAAATAAATTTTATTTGGAACAAAGGATGCGACCATAGAAATTTATCGTTCCTGCCTCCCTGCATTTGACCAAGACAGGGAGCATAAGCCCGACCTGGTAGAAGGACATCAAAAGGATAACAATACAGACGCGAAACATACCCTTTCTGCTCTATTCTCTCGCTCTTCATCCTATTTAGGAGAATGAGCTTTAAAGCACGAGTTTTGTCGGTCGTTTCAACAGGATTTGGAAGCGTAAATTAAAAACGTTCGCTGATCTGACTTGGAAGTAAATTATACCTTCAATGATCAACTATGACTACGGAACACGAGAATGTTTTCCTCTTTGTGTTCAAAAGGATTAATTCGCGGTAGATGGAAGGATCAATCGTTATAGTTAGTGCGACTGTCATATTTATCTTTGAAGATACATTGTACCTACATAAGTCTAGACAGTATAAGTTTGTGTTTAAAAGGATTAATTCGCGGTAGATGGAAGGATCAATCGTTATAGTTAGTGCGACAGTCATATTTATCTTTAAAGATGCATTATACCTACATAAGTCTAGACAGTGTAAGTTTGTATTCTCAAAGTGTTTTGAATTTCTGTGAATACTCCTGTAAATTAATAATCCAGGTAATGGATCATTGGAAGACTTTTTTATAGATTTTTTAATATTAGTAGTGCAAATCGCAAGCACTATTATCGCCATCTGATGGTGAAGGAAAAGGTAATAGAATAGGTAATTGCGTTTCTAAGAGGAAGTAATTACATCTTTGTAACACGAGTAGAATGTTTTGAGTTAACAAAAAAATTCATGTATTGGCATGAAAGTTTATTTCGAGCTTCAAAATCGATAATGAAGGATATTACCTATGGTAAGTCTTGGAACGACATCGCCATCTAGTGGTATTTCCACGTCGATAACATGTATTCTATTTTACCCTCGCTACTTTTGATGCACCCAATGCATTGAACGTTACCAACGAAACTCGATGCACTTTTCGTTTGCCAATTTCGGGGTTTCTCGACAGATGGCAGGAGCGACGCGGTCTGCAACCGTTCTAAAAAATTCTCTGAACTCACGTCGATATAGCAGGTCGCTATTTTTGTCTCGATCGATGCATTTCCTACCGAGAAATAAATTTGATTGTATAGTTTCCGGTGTAACTCACGATGTCGCTCCACAGTCATTCGCAGTGCGTTTAAAATTTTTTCAAATCCCTTAATTTGAAATAATTTAATCGAGCTCTCTCTAAATTCTTTCTATTGCTACAACTAATTCTTTTTATCAGAATGGGCGAAGTCTCTTAGTAACGTTAACAAGCGCGATAAAGTGAATTTCAGAAAAAACTTAAAGATTTAGAAATGAACAAATTTCAGAACTAGACATTCTTTGTACACAGAGCACTCTCCGCCAAAAATATGCAGCTAGCCAAAAAAGGAGAACCGTGTATAAAGAAGTTTTTCTCGCCGGTCGGAAGAAGTTTTCAAAGAAAGGCCAGGACGAGGAAAAAAGAAAAAAGGCGGAACGGAGAGGGTAAATCCGCGTAATTACCCTCGATTTCGAGGCCCGTTGCGAAATTCAGTGGTTCCGGCTGGGCTGCGTTCATCGAGAAGGAAAAAAAGATATCCGAAGATAGGATCTGAAAGCTGCTGAAAGCGCGCGATCGTATCGGCTGGTAATGCGATCCGCCAGAGACATAATGGCGCAAAACCGGGCCCCCATTGTTGGCTCCAGGTTTCAGCGGGGCATTCCTTGGCCAGGATGTGCTCTCGATTTTCTCGGATATCGTATAATGTGGCTTATGCCATCGTACCGAGGGGAACGGGGGAAGGAGAGGACGTAGGCAGGAGATCCAGCGATTTACTGCTCACCTCGGGAGAAAAGAAAATCTTTGTTCCTTCGGTTTTAGAGTAGGTGTGCCTCTACCGTCATTGTTGTCGCGTTCGAGCCGGACGTAATCTTTCTTTTTCATCCTGATACGTATCGATATTTCTACATACTTGTTCGTGAAATATAAAAATCGAATTCATTTTAATCCGAGTCGCTAGAATTTTAGCAGAAAACAAGATGATTCCGTTGTGTTGGTCGGAGCTGGCGTAGCCAAAGCGTTCACGGGTATTCCTGATCCCTTTGCCATACGGAGATTGTTAAATTACGATGAATCCAGCCAGCTTAAACGCGCCTCTGTATTTTGCCGCTGCGGAAACGACATTATTGGGCGATACGATCGCGCGTGCTTTTAGCAGCTTTCAGATTTTATCGGTGTTGCGCATGAATAGTCGATTTTTTTCGGCTCGCGAGACCAGAGAGCAACTGATTCGCAAACCAGAGCGAAATACCGGGGGATAGCATACCGATCGGTCAGTCAGCTCGTCTGTGTTTCCTCTGTTTTCCACCGTTTCAATATCAACATGGGTCTGTAGTTCGATCGGCTCTGA